GTTGATGATCGAAACTCAGTTGATTTTGGATGCATTCATTTTTGGATTTTTTCGTGGATGTTATTTTAAAATTGATAAAATTTTAATTTTAAAATTAGTAATTTGTTGACAATCGAAGCTCAATTGATTTTGAACGTATAACGGATCCATTTTTAGATTTTTTCATGGATGTTTTAATTTTAAAATTAATAATTTATTGGAACGTTAATGATCGAAACTCAGTTGATTTTTAACGGATTCATTTTTGGAATTTTTCGTGGATATTACTTTTAATTTTAAAATTGGTAATTTGTTGGAACGTTGATGATCGAAGTTGATTTTGAACGCGTAACGGATCTATTTCTTTTTTATTATTTTTAATTTTAAAGTTGGTAATTTGTTTGTATTTCAGGCTTTCTTAAAACAGGCCCGAAGGGAAGCGCGCAAGGAAATTACGGGTTGATGGATCTAGTGGCAGGGCTTCACTGGTTACACGAGAATCTTGGCGCTTTTGGCGGTGACCCCGACCGGCTGACGCTCTTTGGCTACGGCACAGGAGCGGCGCTTGCCAATTTTTTAGCCGTCTCGCCCATGGTGAAAGGTAACACACGACCCTTTATATAAACTTTCAACTTCAAGTCGTGTAAAATACCGTTGCGCATAGATACTATACAATACCGATACGATAAGAATATCTTTCGCGGAACAACTACTGTTGAAAAGAAGGAACGAGGGCTTGATTGATTAACTTTGGAAAGGAAACGCCTATTTTCACACGCATTTTTTGTTTCTATCATATCATATCACATTTGTCGTGTATACTATGCAAAATATAGAATTTTTTTTTATAGAATTCAGAGAATGTATCAATATAATATAAAAATTTTTTTATTTCATGGCTAACAAGACTAATTACGATTTATAATACGATAATATAATTTATAAATTTCGTATTCGAGTAGTAGAGATAATAATTGTAATAATAAGCTAAATATGCCATGGATAGTTTCTAATAAAAATAATATCTCCAGTCTCAGACGATTATCCTGACTTGATAGATGAGAATAATTTTTACGATTTTGAATATATTCCAAATTGCAGCTGTTCTACATTGCGAATAAAGCGGTCCTATAGGCTTGGAAGGACCCTTGTTGCCCGGCGACACTTCTTTCCAACAGCGAACGCCACTTTCATCTCCTCGATGATAACAGTGTTTCGATGTTTCGTCGCAGGGGTGTCAGGATATTCTTCTCGCGTGGGAGGGAGAGGGTAGAGTCGAGGGGATATTCTTCGGTGTCATCGCCGGCTTCGTTGTCGACGACGGCCACTAGAGACTTTAACAAGCTTCCTCGAGTGTAGCCTTCCTCGCGAGTAAGGAGAATAAGGGTAACAGAGTCGCGTGAACATGGTCGCGTTTCTAAATTGCGCCTCCATTCCGCTAACGAACCCACCTTTTCGCCTCGTCCTTAATGCCCTTCCACAATACGTTCTACCCTTCGCCGCGAGCGCTCCTCGCGAGACGAATAGATGATTCGTGGACCGCGTTCAACCAACCGGCTGTCATCGTGCGTTCTAAAATTTGAGAAATATATCGAAATCGGATGGATGATGTTGTAAAATTCACAAAAAAAGCGAAGATTATAAAAATTTAAACGACTAATCATCGTATTCTAAAATTTATAAATTATCGAAATCGAACGTGAACGATGGATTCAGTAAAATTAAAAAAAAAGGTGAATTCAAAGATTCTAAAAATCTAAATGACTAATCATCGTATTCTAAAATTTAAAAACTATCGAAATCGAACGTGAACGATGGATTCAGTAAAATTAAAAAAAAAGGTGAATTCAAAGATTCTAAAAATCTAAATGACTAATCATCGTATTCTAAAATTTAAAAACTATCGAAATCGAACGTGAACGATGGATTCAGTAAAATTAAAAAAAGGTGAACTCAAAGATTCTAAAAATCTAAACGACTAATCATCGTATTCTAAAATTTAAAAACTATCGAAATCGAACGTGAACGATGGATTCAGTAAAATTAAAAAAAGGTGAACTCAAAGATTCTAAAAATCTAAACGACTAATCATCGTATTCTAAAATTTAAAAACTATCGAAATCGAACGTGAACGATGGATTCAGTAAAATTCAGAAAAAAAGGCGAATTCAAAGATTCTAAAAATCTAAACGACGAATCATCGTATTCTAAAATTTAAAAACTATCGAAATCGAACGTGAACGATATATATTGTAAAATTAAAAAAAAAAGGCGAACTCAAAGATTCTAAAAATGGAAAAAAATCGAAATCGAAGGTAAAAACGCCGAGTATTCTAAAATTTATAAAGTATCGAAATCGAACTCGAACGATAGACGATACTT